ATATAACCCCTTGATCTTGACCTTGTGAGTAGTTTTCGTGTTAGCTTCGTACTTTGTTAGGACCATACCATCGGAGACGGAAATCCGTGGGATAAGATGAGGTGCGCAGTTTTACGGTCAACTCAACTTAACATATATCCGTAAGTTCCAACAGTCGTTGAAAATTTATGATTCAAACTGAAGATTAAGTAGAGGTTAAATTTAAAACAAGACTTCAATTCAAAATGACGTAATATATAGACTGACAAATTTTACGTTGTTGTAAACATTATCTCAACATTTGTATACGAAGAATTTTAGTCAAAGTAAATGAAGTGTGATCAACTGCATTTATTACTTATTATCTTAACGTGTTACCCCTCCTCTTAAGGTGTTTGCCACGTGCACAAAATCTGCAACCAACACAGTTTTGGACTTACCTTGTAGCGTCGGTTGATATGTCAAACCGACATAGCTTATTCTAGTTACCGGACAGGTCTACTTATTCATTGTTCTTGAGCCACAATTTTGATCTTGTTAATTATTCGCTTGTCGACATAGACTATATTATTATGTAAGCGTATGTGTGTACATTTCCTATCTTACTCATCACATGTCTGTAACTTATCTTTGTCTGACTATAAATATCGATTTACGCTTGGTTAAATTGAGTTGGTTCACATGCCTTCTTCAATCCATTTTACTCCTCTCTCTCTCTCTCCTGTTCGCTTCCATCGCTCCACCTCCCTAATTATTTGTTTAGATCAACGATTGTATGAAATATACTCATTTAAACTTCATTCTTGTATTTGACTTATTTAATCCCTTTATTCACTAACGTGATCTAAGTTGATGATTATATACAACTATTGACGGGATGTATATTTCGATAGCAATCATCCTATGATTTAAATGGAGTAAGACAATGGGTCACTAAAACCTTTTCAATCACTGTCATATGCTATTCATGCTTTTGACATCTGGCTCTGAGCCAGATACCTGAAATACCTGTAACATTGATTGTTCTTTCAGATTCAACCCCGTACAACATAAACGCTTTAAATTTACTGCTGAATGGCTTAACTTTTGTCGGGGGTGATGATTCTCTTAAGTTCCAGATATTTTCCCATTGCATAAACCTTATATTTTACTTCCAGTTTCATGTGTTCACATATACACCAAATTCTTCTTGCTTCCTAGATACGTCATGACTACTAACTTTCCCAAAGATTTACTATCATGTATGCTTTGGTTGATGCGCACTGAGTGTTACTTCTGGATGTTGCTTTGATCTTAATGAATTGTATTTTCCATGTTCAAAGATGGAAACATATCCATTTTCAAAATGTTGCACAAAAATTAGGAAATCGTTTTCTCATTTCTGATTGGCTCATCTTGATATTCTAGTTTTACCCTATAAATCAATTAAAAAACCAGATTGTTCTAATCATGAAATCTATTGACATTTATAAAGTTTAATGTTTTGTTTGTTTGTCTGTCTGTTTTTTCTTTGGTATTTTATCTATTTGACCATGTGATATCAGTCTAAATTGCAAGGAATTTGACCTTCGAATGTTTTGGTTGATGACTTCAATTTATAGAATGTTCTTTGACCTATCGGTTGTATGAAGATTATCGTAAAGGAAGTCCGTGAACTCAATGAATTAGGGGATATTTCTTGTTATAACTTTATTTCATCAATTATTTGATACTTACTTCCTTTAGTATCAGAAAGGGTTTTGTGGAGATTGTAGTAATTTCAATAGTTGAGATTATCTAACGATGTCAATGTCTAACTTCAACTAATCCACAATATTGAGCGATTCATCCATCATTGTCTTCAGTGAATTACTGTTATATCATAACAGACTTAGTTGAACTCCACTGGTCACTGCTTCTCAATAGAACGGTAGAAAATACCTCTTGAAGTCAGTCTCTATTGAGCGTATGTTGATTAGTATCAGAAGGGGTTTGGTAGAAATATATATCCTGGAGTTCCAGTGAGAAGCAGCGACCAGTGGAGTTCAACCGGATCTGTTGTGAGATAGTAACTCACTGATGACAATGGTGGATGTGTCACTCAATTTCGTGGATTAGTTGAAGTTAGACACCGTTGGTTAAGCGCTGGCTGATAGGTCCTGAGTTGGAATCGCGCGAGACGTGGTCGTGGATGTGCACTACTGGGGAGTCCCACAATAGTAAGAAACGGCCGTCCAGTGACTCCAGGTTTCCTATGGTGGTCTAGCTTCAATCGACTCATGATCTCAACTATTGAATTTGCTTATTTTACTTACGACTTTTATTCCACGTGAAGGAACATAGGCCGCTCACTAACATTCTCCATCTAACCCCATCCTGAATAATCATTATTAGTTCTTATTCATCTTTTTCATATCTGCTTCTATTTCTCGACGTAATGTGCTCATTTGCCTTCCTCTTTTCTACTTCCCTTCAGGATTCCAATTTAGGGATTGCTTCGTGATGCAATTTGATGATTTTCGAAATATATGTCCTAACCACTTTCAGCCTCATTTCCTGATTTCCTTCTCAGTCGGAACCTGGCTTGTTCTCTTCCATAGTAGGCTATTGCTGATGCTATCCGGTCAATGAATATTGAGTATCTTCTGTAGACAACTATTTATAAATACATGTAACTTGTTGATGATGGTTGTGGTATTTCTCCAAGTTTCAGCTTCATACAGTAGAACTGTCTTGATATTCATGTAAAACACCATGTATAAAACTGATTATTAAGGGGGATTTATGAAAATTCCTACCAAAATAATAAGCGAACACTGTATCCGTAGTTGCTACGAGAAAATAATAATAAAACACGTAAAAAAGGTATTTTAATCCTGAGAAAAATATGTCAGTTTTACTACAAATTGTTTACTATCCATTGGGAAATGTAAAGTGATGAAGTGTTTTGGGAACTTTTGTTTTTGTATACTCATTAAAGTTAAATATCCATGAGAAATTCAATTCAATTTAATTCTGTGTATAGTGGAGATAAACTATAAAAAAGAGCTTGGTATTGTTTGGCTTGTATCTTCCCATTGAGGTTTAAGACTGCAATTGATCAGTGTGTTATTGGCATATGTGCATACTGTGCATATGCCTCGATATTGCCTTAATCCACAAGCTTTTCGTAAGCGATGATGAGTCGCAGAGTGAACATCAACTCTAAGATGCAGGTACATCCAGCTGACGAGTCCCAAATAGGACGAAATTCACGTCCTGGATTCGACTGCTAGCCACTATCCATCTTTGCTTATAAAAAAGAGCACCTCAATATTCCATGTTGTATTCAGAATGTATTTCTATTTATTAGATAGTTAAAGTCATAGTGACCAAAATCACTTGAATGGTAATATGGTGTGTTCTACTAATGTCAATAGATATAAGTAGTATGTATCATCAATCGATAGTGGAATGTCTGGAGGCAGAAGATTAAGAGTATCGAATAGAATAGAACGAAAACAGTCACTGATTAGTGCGGAAATGAAAGGACAATGAAGTTTGAGACATCTTGCAAATGGACTATTTACTGTACAGATCTCAGATGTTACTAAGATAGTGTTCAAATGAATCTGATTCTTCCCACTACTGTCCTCGTTCACTAGAGACGTAACCATAGAAATACTTCTTATTAAGTTACTTTTTGTCCCATAATCTTGGTTTTATAGATTGTATAACTATTGTTGTAATTCAGAATACAAATAAATGGAAACAATATTGGATTATTATAACCAGCAATCGTGAAATAACATTTGAATATGCTTTCAAATTCACCTCAGTCATCACTCTTATGAATTGCATGATTGTGAGTTGAATTTAGAATATGTGAATGAATAGGAAATTTTTTAAATACGAAGATGAGATCTAACATGACTAGATCTATGAAATGACTAATATCCGAAGCCATTTCAAAAATGATAAATCGAGCCTGAATGATAAGATAGAGAAGCCATATCTTGATAGCAGTAACTAAGTGCAAACGTTATCTTGATGTGTACTGTTATTATTTAAATAAATTTTTATATCCCGATAAGAATAATGAATGGTAACTTTTGGGACCCATTTATGGACCAATACTGTGCTTATATTTTAATCAAGTAGTTGTTATGTAACTAAACTATTCATATTCATCTCCCTGTTATTATGAGTTTTATTTTGACCCATAAACTATTATTATACGTCTTACCATTCATGAGTTATGGCCTGTCTATTAATTACTATCTCCCTCATTCATAGCCACATTTGGCTAATTCTTGTACAAATGCTATTGCATATTTTATTGGTACGTCAACGTCTGTCTGGTTGATATATAAACCGAGTATGTTTGAAATAAAGGATTCATATTGCAGAGGCTGAGATCGGTGTTCTGGACTTAACTGGTTGGGCTAGACAGGATGCTACACCAATTAGGACTCTAGGCTGCTCGCACGTATTTCATGCGTCACTGGTTCGATCGGTAATTCGCTACTCTCTGATTGGCGGTATCGTTGTGTTATACAATAAACAGGGCACATAAGCTCACAAGTTATAACATAAATAATCTCTAAATAAGCTCGAATCTTTTCAAGATTATTCATTTCTTCACTAAAATCACAAATTCATGACATTCTAGTCAAACAAATAACCTTTAGGTAGGTATCATCAATGGAGTTAGATGATGGATTAAATAGACTTACTGGAGAACTGTAAACCACTATGTGTCAACTTAGTTATTCAATACATGAGATTCCTGATGATCCTGAGTTTGATTTGTGATGGAATCGTGTCTTGTATTTTAAATCGAAATTGTAGTGCTTTACTGAAGCTGTACTATTTAAAGGTTCTGTGATCTTGATTCTTACTACTGAGCTTTATTCAATTAGTCTATATTACGTAATCTATTCTGTTTCCGTTGCCATTCTGTAATAAGAAATCGATATTGTAAACGAATGTTTAGATAAAGTTAGAAATGAGTATCATTTTATTCATTTCATGAAGTGTACATTTTTCCCTTTTATTTACAGTCATATATGCAGCAAATACAATGGACAACCGGTGTGTTGTCCAGGTTGGAGAAATGGTATTGGAGCACCATGTATAATACGTGAGTTCATTTACATTATCGTTTTCTTATTCAAAATAAAAAAAGTGTGAATGAACATTACTTATCTGATCAGAATGAAGATTAGTGAAGATTGTAGTAATTCTAATGGTTGAATTCATGAGTCGATCTAAGCTAGATCACTACTGAACACTTGGAAACGCTGGACAGCTGTTTCGTATTAGATTCATTCTGATAATGATCATCATGTGCTCAGCAGTGACTAACTTCATGATGGATTTCATGAAGTTCTAGAAGAGAAGCCTTAACCAGAGGAGTCCAATCCGTGCCGGTTATAGACAGTTATTCACTTCAAACACTGGATAAATGGTTGTGTAAGATCATGGATCAATTGGAGTTAGATATTAACACGATTGGATGTTGGCTCAGTGGTCTAGAGGTTGAGTGTTCGCACATGAAACTCAAGATCCTGGGTTTGAGTCACGCGTGCGGTCCCATAAATGTGCAATGATTGAGGAGTCCCATACAGGAACGGAATGAACGTCCAGTACTTCCAGGTTTTCACTAATGGTCTAACGTTTTTCTATTCATGGATTTAACTATTAAAAATAATTCAAAGTCATCATATTTGTCTTAAGATTTCAAAAACTTAAGTTGGGTTATAAGTTCGTGGCTGAACGGTAGTCCTTAACGTCTGTCAGTTTGTAATTAACCGATTATTAAATGAAATCAGTATCTCGTGAATAGCCAGTGAATAAATCTACGAACTCAATGAATAAAAACCTACTTTTTGAAATCATGAACCAGTCTAATTTGGGAAACCCATGAGAACCTTTAAAAACTGGAGGAACATTTCATGTCAGTATTAGACTCCTTAGCAATGTGTACTCTTAACTTCTCATTCAAAAATCAGACACAGGATCTTTGGTTTTATCTACGGACATTTAACCTCCAGACTATCGAACTTGCATTAACGATGTTAATCAGAGTTTATTCAATTTGCATTGCTGAACGATGATTTTCCTTTTTCTTTAGTGGATAAATGTTTCACATTCTCAAAAGAACTCCGGAGAATATGATAATTTTCAGTATGGGGTAGTGAAGATTGTTGAATTTTATTAAAATTGTAAACTAATCTTAGTTCAAATTCACTTGGTGTTGCTTTTATTTGTGTATTCCCATTGTTATTTAGGGTTACGATTGATCAGTCTCATGTTGGCATATGTGCATCCTGTGCGGATTGCCTCGATATAGTCTTAATTCATTATCTTTTTAAGCAAGGATGGATAGTGATTAGCAAGTGGAATCTAGTTTGACGCGCACTTCGTCCTAGTTGGGACTCGTCAGTTGGAGGTATCTGCATCCCACAGTTGGTGTTCACTTTGAGACTCGAACCCAATACCGTTCACTAAAAACGCCATCGCGTTATCTACATAGCTACTGAGTCGTGATAGCCACTTGTTTGTGCAATGGGGTGAAGTTTAAATTCACTTGGTCTTGTTTTATATGTATCTTGCCATTGTTATTTGAAGCAAACGATACTGAGTTCGAGTCTTGGTGTGGATATCAATTCTGGGATGCAGTTACATCCGGCTGATGAGTCTGAAATAGGACGAAACGCGATTCAAACTGGATCCCAATGCTGTTTCACTGTCCATCTTTACTAATCTTCTCTCACTTTTAATGTATTAAGATGAAATCAAGCTAATCTAATATAAGAATCAAGTTGTCTAATTGAAATTTATTGCTGAAAAAGTAAATTCGACTTTTTACCTTCCACCTATGGAACTGATATTAACAAGTAGATTTACATAATTGTCTAATATGTAAATCATAAAGTGGAAAACATGAATTTTATAAACGAATTATGGTAAAAACATGATACCCTTGTATTCTACTAACAAACAGCATTATATAAATGAAGAAAATGCAAAAGAATAGAAACATGTTGCTTAAGACGTTTCTTTATAGCCTTAAAAAGAAATCGACCAATATTTATATTGTGATTAAAGGAGGATCAATGCAGGACTCATAGTTCATCATAGTTTGAGCGCCTAAATGTTCTGAAATGAATAGAGGGTGGGGGAAGTTAGCTCTAACTCTCGAAATGATCTCATATGGCCACGCATATACAGCCACTAACAGGGAAGTCCTAATCACTGAATTACCACGACATTACTGTTGTTTACAAAATTAAGAGGATGAAAAGCGAATGTCTGGTACTTTAACTGGGTTGGTGGATATGAAGGATTTATCTAGGGGAGTTGAAAAACCTTGATTCCTAACCAACGGTGCATATTGGATTCAAGATTCTAAGGAAACAAATTTCGTATGAATCTATTGTTGATCACCAACTACCATAGGTGACGTTACTCTACTGTCTTGTGGATCAGATCGTTTAGGTTAAAGGCTCCGTGTGTGCCTCCCTGTGAAAACCACGTGGTTCGGTCTGGGCACCCGGGTAATAACACAGCCCACACACAAATTAATTGACTTGTGTGGTTCATATGTATTCGGTGCCTCTGATTAGTAGAATCCAGTCAGCACTAAACGATCAGATGCATATAACATTGGTCATTACTCAGTAATAAATTATAAACAAATATCTTGGTCCTACAGAAGGATAGTCGTGAATAGAATAGTGTAATGGTAACAACTTAAATTGTGAAGTTGGAGAAAATGTTTCTGAATCCTATAAGAAGTACTGTAATGAACAGTTGCTAAACTTTGAGGTAATATAAACTGTTAGCTAGATCATAAGCATAGATGGAAAGTGGTTAGCAGTGGAATCCAGTTTGACGCGCGTTTCGTCCTGTTCGGGACTCGTCAGTCGGATGTACCTGCATGTCAGAGTTGATGTTCACTCTGGGACTCGAACTCAGTACCGTTCGCTTCAAACGCCATCGCGTTATCCACTTAGCTACCGAGTCCTGATTACCACTGCTAGCCACTATCTATCTTTGCTTATAATGCTTGTAAATTAAGGCAATATCGAGGCATACTCACAGTATGCACATATGCCAATAAGAGACTGATAATTTCAGTCCTAAAAACATAAATGGGAAGATTCATGTAAAACAATATCAAATGTTAGCTAGATGTCTTGTTGTAATTTCGTTGAGGACGTTAGATCCCCAGAACCCATTTGGAAAAGGTTCTAATTTTATTCTGAAAATTTGAATTTTATGTTTTCGCACAAAGAGACGTTTTGTTGACCTACAGCTTACATTTGCCACTCGGAACTTTATTTATTTATTTATTTTAACACATAGATATTGGTAAAAGGAGGCACCGAATACATATGCGCCGCACAAATCTCATTTGATATGAGTGAGGACTGTGATACTGCCTGGGTACCCAAACCGAACCACGCGGTTTTCTTAAGGGGTCACATCCGGAGTCTTCGACCTGAAGGTCTCATCCACAAGGCAGTAGAATATCGTAAGGAAATGCAGTCCTATGGTAGCCGGTGACCAACTATTGGTTCATACGCCATTAGTTCCTTCAGAATACTGGAGCGCATGTGCACCATTGGTTTGGAATCAGGGTTTTCCAAATAACTCCCCTAGATGGGCTCCCCATGTCCATCAACCCGGTTAGAGCGCCGGACATTCGCTTTTCGTCCTCACAATTTTGTAAACAACACCCCGCCACGAGATGGCAATGGGTAGGACTTCCCTGGCAGAAGTTATATACGCGTTGCCATGTGAGAGCTTTTCGAGAGGGAGAGAGGACTCTCTCCACTCTCGGCCGTACCGGGACATTTAAAGGGGCAGTAAATCGGATGTCACTGCCAGGAACTCCTTGACTGTCATTAGTTGACGGATTTTTTTTACGCTATTTTGTGTCTCTCCCAAGGGCGGTACTATCATTGTATAAATAAGCTTGATTTTTGTACTTAGTGACCTCGTATTTTCTGGGTGCTTGTGGAATATATTCTCTACGCCTCATCAGGACTTCTTGATCTAATTAGCAGGGCCGGAGAAAACAGATTAGAATAGACTATCGTGCCACTGTATCTTTCACATTCCTTCAGTTTACCGAGTAAGGTGAACTCGTAATAGCATTCAACCATATCAGGTTTTCAATAATTCTTCAGTTGACGTTAGTTGGTCATAAAATTTAAGATCAGAATGAAAAAACTTCACAAACCATCTATTTCAATAAGTAACATTGCTTAAAATCAAAATGTTGATTATAAGTCATTCACCATTAATTTATATCAATAGCTTATAATGATGACTCTTCGGCATGAAGTGGGATACTAACTAATTACTGCTCACTGACAGATGAAAGTCCTTTGGCTAACGTGTGATTCGATTGTCAATTGTGTAGTTTAGACGAAATTATGCCATCGTACACCATTGTCTTCAGTGAGCTGATATCTCACAACAGACTTGCTTGAACTCCACTAGTCACAACATCTCACTAGAACTCCAGGAAATGCCTCTTGGATTCAGTCACTAGTGGATAGATGATTATTATCAGAAGAGGATGTTGTGGAGATTTTAGTAATTTCAATAGTCGAAATCATGAGTCAGTTGAAGCGGGGGCGAGATCGTGTATGTGCACTGCTAAGGAGTTCCACAGTAGGATGAAACAGCATTTCAATGCTTCCAGGTTTTCCATTATGGTCTAGCTTCAATTGACTCATGATTTCAACTATTGAAATTACTAAAATCTCCACAAAACTTTCTTCTGATAATTGTGTAGTTTTACAAGAGAACACATAAAAACGTTGTTCAGTGCTTTTCCAAAAGTCCTATTGATTCTTACTAAACGATAATTTAGAGAAGATATTTGAAATGGTGAGTACATCTCTAAAGGGTGTTCTATTAAGAGTTAATTCTATAGTCTTCGCTTGCTCTTTGTTTGTTATCTGTTTTGTCTTTCTACAGTCTACTAACCCGAAGATGCACTGAGTATTAAGCGTTGAATATTTTTCTAAAACGTTAATTAGACAATCTGAAGTACTTTTCATTATAAACTTGGGTTACATAGATTGAAATTAGACTATTCAAACTTGTATATTAAGTTGAGAA